TCCTGGTGCTCTCAACAGCTCCCACACTGTGGGCTGGTGTTTCAAGCATTAAGCCCTTACCCCGGATTTACATTTATATTGTTCTGATGATGTACAGCAACCCCTGAGTAGAATTACGTTACATTACATTCAGTATAAGCCTCTYTGTAATGCCCTAGCAGTATAAAGAGGATACACTGACTCATGTATCCTTCAGGTTTGGCTCTCTGTCACCACGTCATTGGACAAAATTGCTGTTGGATGAATATTTGATCATTTTTGATTAGCAATCCTAGAACAGATGACACAACCTGGGTCACAACAGCAAAACTGAGTTTTGTATTTGTGTGAATAAAGTAACATTATATACAGAGGTGGGAATAGCATGTATTCAGCCTCCCACTCTGCATGGGGATGGGGTAGCAGCAATTTCCACCATACCTGGTGAGTTTTGAGAGKTCTGAGACTCCTCAGACAGAATTTTTTTTCTTTCATTGTTAGATTAAGTATTTTGGGGGCAATGAAGTGGCCTAGAGTCTAAATCTAATTGCATTATTACTGGGTTTTTGCATGTACTGCTCTCACACCCGGAATTAATCACCTTGGGTTTCTGTGGTTTTTGTAGAAAATACATGGCATGGGGAGAAAGGATATATTTTTGCTGACTCTGGGAAAATGGTAAACAATCAAATGTATCTGTCAGGAACAGAGAGTAATAGCTTCAAATGCAAACTGTTAGCAGCACATTTTAGTGCATTAATAATTTACAATCCACGGAAAGTTTAATTTATGCAAAGTGAGAGTCTGGTGGCATAGTTACTAAAGGCACACATGATTCTGGAGATAATAAATCTATAGCACGCCTATGACTGACTGCCAAGACTCTTGGTTTTGTCACAGTTTTTGCATAGTGTCTTTCTCAACACACCAATGCCTCTTACTGGAATCCAGTACAAGAATATGTATTTCCTCATTCAAATTAAAAAATAAATAAATAAATAAATAAATAAAGTCATCTCAGGCCCACCCAGGTCCAGCCATGCTCCAAGAACTGTCACAGCCAGAATCTACCAGAGGCCTGAGGACACCCCATCATCCAACAGGCAAGGAGATGGCTTCTCTGCTGACAAAGCAGCACTGAAAAGGAGACTGAAAAGCAACCAAGCTCTCCTGAAGTTTGCAGCAGAATYCATCAAAACTTAGGCTTCCCCTAATCTGCTGCATGCATGTTTCAGTCCTCTGAGCMTACTGCCCCACTCACTCCTCCCAGGCCAGGGTGCCATGCTACCACATTTCTGCACACCAGGAGACCCAGAACCCAGGAAGGTTGTTCTCTGTTGAAAATCGTCAGAAAGAAAAATGCAGCCTCTTCCCAATTTATGTGGCTTTKTGTGTATAGAAGACTGACAAGTCAAATGCTCCATGTATTAGAGATGCCAGTGCTTCCCCCTCACCTGGGCAGAAAGATAAAACTTCTGGCCAAGTCTCTTTTGATGGTGCATTTCCCAGACTCCCACCTCACTTCAGATTCAGGACAGACACAAATGAAAGGAAGTTGAAGGAGAAGGTAACTAACCTGGGGATGTGTAGCTTTGGTGTRGAACTGGCAAAGCAAAATGAACTAAATTTCATGAACTTGATGGTGCCCCAATKGAACATTTTGGGGGAAAAAAATTTGAGTTTAAAAAGACCAGTTAGACAAATRTTCTACATTTTGCTTTGCTTTGCAACCTTAAGCAATCTTCAGGCCAGTTTTTCCCTGCAGAATATATGTACATATATTAAACAAGATTGATTACAAGACATTTGATTGATCAGATGCAAAATAACATCTCTACACCTTATCTTCTTCCAAGGCCAGAGAGTAAAGAGATCAGCAAATGGCTGTAGGTTTTTAATAATTAATTCATTTACCCTGAGYTCAGAAGACTAACTAAAAACCAGGTCTGCACTTGAGGGTTCAATAAGTGGTTTAAAAACACTTAGGGGGAATATCAGCCAGCAGGACACAGCAGCATATGTCCATTCCACTCCACACTATCGAGCTTCCCATGACTCCTCCTCTGCAGAAACTGCACCTGTGAAGGGTAGCTCACGGGCTCCCTCTTTGCGTTAATTACAGAGAAAGAGCCTGGCTTTAACCCTAGTCTGGTTTGTGAGCAGCCCTCACAGAGCTGCACAGCAGGGCTCTACAGTGCCAGTCATGTGAGACCTCCCCACCACCACCTCATGCATACGCAGCAGCGACACWCTTATCCACAGAAGCGCACAGCCGCCCTCATTGTGTTTCATGTCAGGCTAACACCGTGCTGCTGACAAAACACAGCACCACGAGCTCTGAAAACGTGCGCTAACAGCATCGAGATCTTTGCTTTTCTTTCATGCCTGCCACAAGCAAGGCTTTGGCTTTGTTTCTCTGTAAATGCAGCATGAAGGAGGAAAGCTGGGATTTGACCTCTGAGAACCACAATGCACAGTTGTGCRCCCACAGCACAGGATCGAGGTTTGTCTTGCATGGAAATGAATGTAGTTAAAGTCCTCCTTATGTTTTTTAATCACTTCTTCAGTCTTCAGCTTGCTGTTCACCTTCTAGGGCAAATACTCCATTGTGCCTTTAATGTATTCCGAGCACCGCAATCTCATATGATCTTCTGTGTTAACACCCCCAGCCCACTAGGCCTTTCCAGAGTGCTGGCTAGAGTCAATGTKAGGGAGATTTTTGAAGAGCAAACAAATATTCAAAACCAAAACAATATGGGAAAAGCTGGTTGACTGGCCAGAGTTCAGAAGAAAAAATTTTAAACTTCAGTTCTGTGCACACTTGGGATCRAAGCAATGTGGCAGGAGTGTTCCAACAGTGGAATGCTGTGGGAAGGCAAAGACTGTAGGCAATGGACAGCCCAGCTGCCCAGCACTCTGCCATGAGACAGGGGATGCAGCTTTGGGTTCACAGATAATGGTCAAGGGGTGGCATGGGGGCATCTGCTGTGGACAACCTCACCAAGAGGTGGAACAACCCTTAGGAAGTTGAAGGAAGCTTCACAATGGYCAGATGTTCCAAGGGACTTTCCCCACTAGCAGTAGCATCTGGAAAGGCCCCAGGGTGAGGCACAAAAAATCCGCTGGGAGCRGAGCCGAATGGGCAGCAACTCCACTGGGCTGCAGGGATGCTGCACCATGGGCAGGACACAGGGCAGGGCTGTGGTGGAGGGCAGGGACAGTGACAGCGCAGCAATCCCCCAGCAGGTCCACGGGGACAACAGATGAAGATTCAGAAAGAAGAACTGGGAACAGGCACAGCATGGCACAGCCCAGACAGGGACTTGGGACCTCAAAGAGAGTGACAGCTCCTTCTCACACTCACCTCAGCTGTTTCCCTGCAGCCTGATTCCAGATATCACTGCACCAAGCCAGAACTTGCCTTGAGCACAGGCTGTCATAACCCAAGAAGGAAAAGTTGGAGRCTCAGGCCTGTGACACATTAAAAAATAGAGAAATGTGAGCAAATGTTTGCAGTGAAAAAGCTTGAGTTTTGTTTCCCTACACAACCAGACATCATGGAGGACAGGAGTCACAGCTATATCAGAGGGAGCTGGTAGAAGGCTGAGGCTGGACGAAGAGAGGACATGAGAGAGTCGTAGGAAGTTAAAAGCAATCTCAACTTCCATTTGTGTGTGCCTCCATTCTAATTTTTCTCAGGGAGAAGGACCATTTCCAAGGCTAGTGTCCAGGGTCACCTCTTTCCCCAGGCTTTCCCAATCCCACCAGGGAGATGTTGCAGATTTCTGAGACACCTCCAAGCTCAATGCAGGCATCTTCTGAAGGGGCACTCCAGTCTTGACATTTTGTACTTCAAATGCAAAAGTTGGTGCTGGCTCAGAGGTCACAAATATTTATGACTCCACAGGTATGTGATGGGTATGGGTTCAATGGAATAAATGCAAGCCCAGTAGAAACGGTCTTTGTTTCTTATATGCCACATTAGTGAAAATCAGGACAGCTTGTTACCACTGAGTAAGAGGCTGGGAAACATCCACTCATTCATCCACTCTTGCTGCTGGAAGCACAGAGTTTTTCTCAACTGTTCTGCTATTGTCTTTCTAAGGCAAAAGGAAACCAAAAAAAAAAAAAAAAATCAAAAAAAAACAAAAGAAAAAAAAAAAAAAAAAAAAAAAGGACTGCATCATCTGTGTCTGTCAAGCAAACTGGATCCCTCTGTTGGCTAGAATTACAAATCTGTACATGGCGGGAAGGCTAGCAAATCTGCTAAAAAATTTCTGCTTATTCCTTCTCAGAGCAGCAGGGGGAGAGATCAACTTAGAATTCACCATGGTCACTCTTTCTCACACACTTGATTAGCCTACACAAATTCCTGCCATAAATGTCCCACGGTGATATTCACAAATCCTCCATCCAGCAGAGGAAAGAAGACTCTAGAAGGTGATTAAGAAATGAAGAGGCCAAATTGAGGTTGCTCTGAATTAGCTTGTGGGACCCAAGAGTGTAACCTGTAAAAAGAATGCACTGTGAGAGGACTGACAATTAAACCACAGAATACCTTCAGGGAACTGCTCTGAAGGCTCATCTTTCTGCTGTGTACAGCAGTGGATGAACAGGTTACCTCTTCTGAAACGTGCACTGCCAACCACTTGAAATTTCAGAATGTGAGATGCAAACCAGTTACTTCAGTCCTTCTTTCCCTCACRCTCCACCAAAATAAAATGAAGGATAATAAACCACTAAAAATTGAGATAAATATGTCTTGTATCTTTGGATAGTATCTGTCTACCAGACTGTTCAGAATGCTCCAGATCTGGCAGAATCCACCATGAAAAAAAAAGAAAAAAATATTCAGTTGTGCAGTTCCTGAGGTCTTCAAACATCATGGCTTGAAATTTTTGGCAAAGGAGACAGCAGAACATCAAAAAAAAAAAAAAAAAAAAAAAAAAAAAAAAAAAAAAAAAAAAAAAAAAAAAAAAAAAAAAAAAAACCACAATAACAACAGAAAGTAGTTAGTCCTTCATGTTTCAAATATACTTTATCATCCTGGGAAGTGAAACCGGGATTCATGGCGACAGACAAGGATTCAGCAGTTCCCTTTGCAAATGCTTTGGGTTTATGTCTAGCTTTCAATTCTGATCTAGGGAAGCCTGTGAGTCCACTGTTAATGATACTTTCCTGAAGAGCTTCATTCATGGAGCCTAATCATCATTTGCACTGCAATCCACTGGGGAAAGTGTTTAAGATATGCCAACAGARGCTGTGTGTCACACTGGCAAAACACTAGTGGTGAGAAATTTCAGTGGGAATATTTCGCTTAATCAAAACTGAACATATTCTCATAGAAACAATGACWGATACTAATGACCAATACTGTACTGTTCATGGCCATAAAACGGATCTTTCCTTTTACAGATTTAAAAGTAATAAAAAAATCACCAGCTATTCATTGAGGAAATTTCCGGCAAGCAAACTTTTTCAAGGTAAACAACTTTTGCAGCTGAATTTCTTTGTGTAAATGATATTCACATCCTTCCCCACTACCACTATGTGGGCACCCCTTCATGAAACAGCCAAGGGTTTGATGGAAATTTTAAACAGCCTGGTGCAAGGAACAATTGCATGGAAATTACCACACAGGTGAAAATCTGGCTTTCCAGCAATGTGAAGAACTCTGTATTAGTAGCTCCATTTGCATGTGTCATCATAAGTGGGCATGTGTAGGATTGGCTACACATGCCCACATACACACCACTACGTGGTCCCTCATCTAAACGGCTCCCCTCAGCCAGTGCCATTCTGCAGGTACTGTGGAAGTCGACTGAGGCTGAAAAAATTTGGGATGAAAACTGCCACAGTCTGAACACCGGGCAAAAGTGTGACCTTTGGCAAGTGATGACCAAGATCACAAAGTTTAATTCTTTCTCAAATTCAGTAACTTGAGGTTTTCTGTGTTAAAATAGGAAGGCTGTTTGTCTAGTTCTCCCTGGGCCTACTGAAGACTGTTCAGCACCAATGGACTCTATTATCCCTGCCCTTTTAGCCATATTATTTCATGTTTATACATGATACAAATACCATGATCAGAATACAAATAYATCATCAGAATACAAATATATCATCAGAAAGGCAAGAAGGTAAGTCAGATCAAAGCCAGCCCTACTTCTGGGGAGCAGAGATATTCATGTGCTCCACTTATTTTTAGCAAAAGATGGTGGGTTAAGTCTGAGCCAGCACGTTTTTCATTCAATCTGTCCCTGGACACTAACAGATGGCGATTCCTCGTGCCAGCCACTAATGTACTTTACATTGGCACTCAGTGTCAGGACACAAAGCCCGCCAAGTCCCTGCTAAATCTGCTGATGCCAGGAAAATTGATAATAAACAGCTAGCCAGGGACACAGTCCCAAGTTTTCAGTCTACCTCCAAAGCAGCAAAGAAACTGTGCCAGTGCAATGGTGCCAGCTGCTCTGCACCTTGAGGTTATCAAGATAGCAAAGGAGGGCCCTGGACTGGGGAAAAAGGGACCAAGCAGAAATGTATCTGAAGATGGAGGAAGAGCCATCTGATTCAGGGTAATTAGCTGTRTGCTTAAATCTGGGCTTTGAGAACCCTGGCAACCAGAGCCTTAGTTCAAACACTTGAACCAATGACAATTAATACAAATCATTCTAAATATATACATATACATATGCATGTATTACCTGGCAGAATGATTTTATTGCTTAACAYTTCTTAGTGCCCCTTTAGCATCGAACATACAAACTTCAGTCTTATGGGTCTACTTCCCATGGCTACTGATCCTAAATTATTAGGTCATCTACAAAAGAAAACTCCACAGAACTCCTCTGAGGAGCTCACTCTGTTTTGCAGGTCATTGCTTCTATTCTTTGAATACAAGCATCCAAAATTCTTCAGCTGTAAAATTCCTGTTCCTTTCCACCAGGTGTCTCAGTGCCCAGGCTTCTCTCTTGGATTGCTCGAAGCTTGGTATCCACATCTTTTGGAGAGAAGTCCAGCCAGGRTTTGAGGAGGAGAACCAAAATGCTTCTGGTTTGGGACAGCTCAGATGGTTAACCTGGGCCTCCCACCTCTGGGGCAGCCATCCCTGGCAACAGAGACAAATAAAAGGGGCTATTCACGAACACAGTCAAACAGAAGAAAAGTGCTGTGTTATTAGTAAACTGCCRAATCAGGTCAGTTACACTTTACTTCCTGCTGCAGACTCCCCCCATGCCCCTGTGGAAGGCCACCCCAAAGTGTCTGGGACAGGATCAGTCACGCTGACAAGAGCCACGCTGAGTCTCATACAAGGTTTGACTGCAAATGAGCAGAATCAGCCCACAAAAAAATGAAATTAYAAGGCAAGGTGTTATATTTTCATCATTATGTTCTGAAATATGCACACACTTACTGAGATTTTCTTTCTAMGGGGAAAATAAAAAAGCCACAAATCTGTCCAGGAGAGCAAACTGGTCTTCACAATCTTATTGATTAGAGAGCCATAAAASTATCAGGAAGGAATTTCTGTACCTTTACTTTTCCATGGTTGCATTCCTAACTCAAAGAGAGTACATATGTCCAGATTTGCATTACATCGAAACAGCAAAGCGTGGTTAAGCACATCACTTGCCAGTTCTCATCACTTAAACAACTTCAAARGTTTTCTCCATCTTCCTTCTACTGGCTGACCATTTAGTGTATTGCTCAGATTGTGATCAGCTAAAATACAGCCTCTCAAACACAACCTGGCTTAAACACTGTTTCAGTGTTTAGCCACCAAATCCAGCCACAGACAACAGCATGTTGTGGCTACAGGTTTGAATGAACTCGYATGTATATACAGAGCCTGACAGTCACAGAGTGCTAAAGACAGATCTGAAGACAGGGATCTCTATTCTAGTTTCCTCTTCCAAATCGTATCTAATTGCCTAGAGSAAAACTGAGTCTTCAAACACCGCAGAGGACAGAGATCCCACAGCCTTTCTGGGCAACATGTTTCCAGATGTTCCAGGTCATCTAAGGAGGGTGAACAACTTAGGCTACTTTCTGCAGCCTGAAAAAAGCCTTCTGCCCCAACAACTCAAGCCTCTGTGTGAAAATGACCACCAGCTCAGTGGTCAACACATGCTCACACACTGCAGCAAGCAAGGAACACGTGCTCTGGTTGTGCACCCGCACTTTCTGCCAACACCTGTTCACAGGAGGATGCACAGCCCAATGGCACTGGAATACCTTGGCTGTCGGCTGGCCAGAAATCTGCTAACCAAACTTCCTGGCACAAGCCTGACCCTCGTGCCATTTTAAAGCCTCTGCAATACACAAATTCAYACATACCTTCTCTTTCCGTCGGATGTTGTCCCACACCCTGTTACACACCATGCACTCAAAGGCATCAATGTAATTGTCCTGGGTGATATCTTGTACTCCCCACTTGCGCTCCTTCATTGCTGTAAGCAGTCTCGGATTGGAAATGTCCCCTTTCAGTTTCCATTGTAGGTAGGACTCATACTCTTCATCATTTGTATCCAGTGTTTTGATGTAACGGGCCAGATCCCGAGGATGTGAAAAACTGGATACCAGGATTGCACTCTTGTTACTAGGAAGCCAGTCTACAATACTGGGAGACCCAAAGTACACTGGCACCACTCCCAGCTTCAGAGGCCGCCARAGTTTTTCAGTGATGTAATCTCCACAAATCGCATTTTCAAAAGCGAGAATGAACTTGTACTGTGCCAGTATTTTTAAAAAGTTCTCATCATCCATGGCAGCTGGATTTCTGAGGTGCTGAGGTAGATCTCTATTATGCAAACATTCCCCATAAGARTCTACTTCAATGTGGCACATCAGCTCACGCACATAGCTGTCCCGGTCAGAAGGSGGGTTGCAGTCAGACTGCACGTACACAAGCGGTGCAAGCCTTTTCCTCAGGCTATTTTTCATCTGCAGTGGGATCATGAACCTCAATGACTTCAGGACCTCTACACCCTCAAGGTACTGCGTGGTCAGTGGCAGGTGAGAGTGGCGGCTAAATGTTGCAGTGTGGTTGAATAAGGTGATGGTTGCTTCATGGAAGAGTTTGTAGTTGTTTTTTGGTGACTCCTCATGAAAAAGAGCCCAGTCATGATAGTCTTTACGAGGAAGGGGTAAGCTGTYTATACTGAAGTCAGTACCTAGATAAAAGCAAATAGTATTCACCTTGCTCTTACAGGTCACACGACACTAACTACAACGACATAGAAGTCTAGTTTTAATTTAGTATCAGGCCTAAAAACACATTTCTGATGCTATAAGACAGTTATTTCAAAGAATGCAATTCATGCAAAGGCACAGGAGCATAATGACAGATAAAACTGAATTTCACAGCAGAAGAATCTAGAGAAGTGGGATCAGTAGTTAATATTAGAAGTGGTTTCCTTTCATGTCGTATTAGTTTAAAGGCCTCTCATTTCAAAGGATCACTAGGAATTTTATATTTTAATGTACTGAAATGAGACTAGTAAGATGTTTAATAATCCCCTGGTTCCCTAAATGAGGGAACAGACGATATTTCCTCTGTGATGCAAGGAAGAGCTCAATTTGGTTCTTGTAATAAAAGAACTAAAAAGATGTTGAAATACTGGTCAGGATTAAGGAGAAAAAGCAAAATAATTACTTCAACTCTTGAAAAGACATTGTACAGTAGAGACTTCGKAAGCCAATCTATTAACTTATCAAAAGAAAAATTAAGAGGTGATGTATCACAGCTACCTACCAGACACATAAAAAAGTAGCTTCCAGCAGAGGACAGTTCCTCAAAGTAATGCCAATTTTAAAAGAATAACCATGTCTAAAATGTAGTCAACTGCAGAACTTGAGAAAACTGTAAACTGTAAAGCCTTAGACCAACCTAAAGGCTGGTCTGTGCAAAACTAAGCTGAAAACACTAGCTCATTAATCCAACCCTTGATCTCCCTTCTGTACTACTGCGCTACTCACATGAYCAGTCTTACTGCAGATTAAACAAAAAGTTGCCCGATTTTTGTCAATATACTTCTGCACTGTCTTACAACTAGCTTTCCATTTAAGCAAAGAGACTGAACATACTCTTCCCCAATATTGTCAAGCAAGAGACATTCAAAAACTGAAACTCACACTAGAGAACTGGTTTAGAGATCACAAATTCTTTATCGTTAGACAAACTACCATCTGTGGCAACCTAAGCATTGTTTAGAGAACTCCACAGCTGTTTGCACCTAGGATGATTGGGAACATAATGTCTTAAACAAACCAACTTAGTGGAATAGCCAGTAAGAAGCAGATTCTGTGTAGATGGGGTAACACTTTCTCGATGCCAACTTCCCCCTTTYACCCCAAGACACTGATGCAGTCACAAGAAGCAGGGTCAAGCAGTGRCCATATCTCTGCAGGGAGCCATGGACCAGAAACAAACCCAAAGCACCCCAACTCTTATCAGGAATTCTTCATCAGAAGACTCTACATACCCTTGCCTGGGAAAAGACGCCAACAGCACCTGGCTACAGCCTCTTGTCAGGCAGTTGTAGAAAGTGATAAGATCACCTCCTACTGAGCCTACTTTTCTCCAGGCTAAACATCCCCAGCTCCCTCAGCTGCTCCTCATTGGACTTCCTCTCCAGACCGTTCCCCAGCTTCAATGTCCTTCTCTGGATGTGCTTCAGCACCGCAACATCTTTCTTGAAACAAGTGGCCCAAAACTGGACACAGTACAGATCAGAGCACACCAGAATGGCTGACTTCAAAACTGGACACAGTACAGATCAGAGCACACCAGAATGGCTGACTTTAATACAATGCTTAATCAGTCTCTGTCCAGCAAAAAGACAAAAAGGATTAAAGGGAAGATATTATCAGTTAGCCCTCTATCCCACAAGATAAAGGAAATAAGTATATGATGGAATAAAAAACATACAAGACCAGAATTATGAGCCATTTCACTTSCTGACTATTAATTTGGAAATCTTAGATATGCAGAAGAGAAAGATGTATGCTGTTAGAAGTCACACATTTTAGAAGATTATCTTTCATTCAGAAGTCAAACTCCAAGGACTCAGTGCTCCAGCACAGACCAGCTGGACATCCTCCTCTCCTAGAAACAACACCCCTCAGGCTCTGACAGATCCAGCTCATGCTGACTCAGTCACATTGACAGCTCATGCTAACCACTGCAGTCTATGAATTATGACACTGAAAAGGTGGAATTGGGAATCCCTCCCCAAAACAGAGACAAAATCTAGCAAGTGGATGTCACACCTCATTTCCAAACAGAAGAGAGCGACACTTGACAAAGTCATCACCTACACCAAGGGGCTCCCAAGGCCAGAACCGTGAGTCAGGACAAGCTGTAGAAAAGTTAGTGCTCCTAACAAAGCAGTTTTGCTGGAAAACATTTGCACCCCATATTTTTCAACAGTACTTTTCTTGGATCTTTGGATCCTTTCACTCTTGACTAGTTTACTGAGCAAGTACTAAGGGAAAATTAATGCATTTTCTTTGGAAGGTGAAACTGTKATCTGATCCAGAGTTAGCATGGAAATTCAGATATTCAAGTTTTCAYTCAGCAGGCTGCTCAGTGGGAAATTCTGTAAAAGTGAAATATAGCTTTTTGCAGACTCACAACTTAGTGCATCAGGGCAGCAGGGAGAGAAGGACAGAAAGAGACAATGACAGAAAAACTCTCTCTCTCTCTCTCTCTGTATTTTAGTATTTTGAGATTATTTACTCTGGTTTAAAAATAAGTCATAATTTTGCTCATTTTGACACTTATCTTTACAAAGATCATAACCAGCATCACTTGAAGAATTTTAAAAAAATGCTACAGGGAGTCTTGTGCCCAGTATAGCCTTTCAAAAATAAGAATGGAAACYGTGTCCAGAAGCTTTTAAAAATGAAGAGTAATATTCCTTCTAACGCTAAAACAGACAAACAAAATTACTACCAGAATGAAAATCACCAGACTTTACAGCTTTCCTGTGATGCAATCCAGCTTTCTTTGTCTTTAATTGGGTCAGCTTCTCATTYCTTTGCTGTTATTCCTTCACTTTCATGCTTAACCACTATATTATCAATTGACAAAGCTGACCTACTTGGAGATCTAAAAGGATTAATGATAAGTTTTTTATTCACTGCTAACAACCAAACTAAAGGCCCTTCTTTCCTGTATTTCCAGTTCACCGGTATTCAGCTTCAGTGAATAAGACTCAGGTTTATTTTATTTCCAGACAAGATATTTGACCCCACCAGTCAGAGAAAAGTATTTGAATTTATTTTTCCACCTGAAACTCAATTTTTCTTTCAAAAACAACTGTATGGATAAAAAGAACAAAGTTTTGTTCTAAACTTCAAAGTTAGTGAAGTAAGGTCTACTTCTATAAGATGCATCTTTCATGTTTTCTAGACTCACTTTATGGTGTATGCAGTGGGAAGTTGCAGCTCAGAAAGCTGCACTAACTGCTACTCCCTGTGCAGAATCAATAGGTTKCTTTCACTACATTCTATTTAGAGTCTGCTAGTAATTTCTTGGCACATGAGGCAGGGGAGTTGCAGTGTTACCAGAGACGGCATTATTTTTAGACAAAAGACTTGCACAAGTGCAACAAAGGCCCTGCAGACCCACTGTTAGGGGTGACAAGCCAGAAGACTGGAAAAAGTTGGCTTGATCTCAGACTGTCTTTAAATGCCTTRGCAATGACATGAAATTGTCTTTTCTCCCATGAACAGGGAGCACATGTGATTGGAAGGCAGCATGAGACAAGGCAACAGTCACACCCCAGATGTGCACCATCACTTTTCAGAGTACTTTCACAGAGCACTCTGAACAATATTCAGCACCAGCTGAAGTTTAGCCTAATGAGCTGCATCAATTTCCTGTTCCAGGTCATTACCACCTAGAATATTTAATCTCTAAAGGGAAACAACTAAGCAGGAGGAAAAGCTGCTTCTTTAAAAACAGAGAGATTCTTACCATAGAACAGAAATGCTCTTGTCATCTGATTGTGCTGGTAGGTCTTGTTGATAGTAAAGAAGCAAACATCCTCTCCACACTGACTGAATCTCCCTGTCTCTCCAGTCAGGGGAGACCACCAGAGCAGGACAGGATAGTGATTTACATCAGACTTTGTCTTGAAGCTGCTGTGAAGTTCCTGCTTCTTAAACTGAAAAGCATGTCTCTCCCCAGGCTTTAGCGGGCYGCTATGCAAACTGGAGATTACCGACACCTTATTCTCCGAATTGCCCAGTTCAGTGATAACCTTCAGGGAAATAATGACACAAATCACTGTCATTAGCCAGGAYGTCTGCTTGACAAACCAGAATTTAAGCATCATGCACTAGGTCTGTATGCTAAGTTTCTGTCAATCAAATTGGATGCATTTCACCAACTGCAAACATCAGGTCATCTTATGTCAGAACGGGAAAAGCCTTAATTTGAAATTGTAAGGAGAAGGTTGGAAATACATTTCTACACCAAGACATGGCCAAATTATGTGTAACTTAAGAACACAACTTCTGCTTCCTTCCTGGAAAATGCATAGGACAGAGTACAGCCCTTCAGTAGCCAGGTTCCTTCTGAAAATTAGCTGTTAAAAAAACCTTCATGTCTCTATAGGTCCAGCCTTGCCTCCCTGCCTAATGAGTTCAAGCATATGAACAGAGGAGGCAATGCTGGATAGAGGCACMACAACATGGCACCAAATGCTGCAACATTCCTGAGAAACTCCTCCAGGAGCCAAGGAGGTACACAAGACAGGTATTCTCTGTGTTTTGTCACTTCCAGCTATCACTGCAAGGCCATGCTGCTAACTGAGTTTCTGCAAACATTCCTGGTAAAGCACAGACCAGCATGGAAAATGTRTCACCCTCAATGCTCCCTCTCATCTGACAGGATTGTGTCCTGCTTTGACAGCAATCTCGTGCACACCCCACCCTCCAGCCCCGGTACCTGGAGTGTCACCACAAGGAAAAAGGCAGCTGCAAAGCAGAAGCAAGATGCCCACAGTATCTTCCTTCTCATCCTAATCATGCTGCACTACCAGGCCCACCAGAGCAGTCACATCCAGGCATTGGGAAGGTCAGCTTGTCTGAAGTCTTCACCCTTTGCTGCTGGGCTTTCCCATCTTATCCTTATTGCTCTTCATGATGATTGCTTCTGGAAAAAGAGTAGAGCATCAACACAGAGCACTCCTTCAAAGCTCAGTGGTTAGTTCCATGTCTACCCATAGCCTTCTGCAGGTGCCAGAGCCACAATTTAAGCCAGCTATCCAGAATGTAGCCTCCACAAATAGCCCTCTTGCTCAGAAAGCCCCAGGCACCTGCTCTCCCTGTGGTCATCATGGTCATCTCATCCTTGCAGTCAGTGTAAGGAATGCTGATGGCCCTGGCTCAGTACTGTGTGGGGAGGGCAACCATTTTTACGAGTTTCAGATGTCAAGCTGTGCTGCTTTTCAGCAGACTCACAAACAGGAGAGCAATGAAAGGTTTTCCTTCCCTGGGCAATCTCTRAAAATGCTCTTGGAGAAGGCACACAACTGCCTACTTGGGACTTWCTACACTTCACTATTCTGGGACTTCTATTCACAAGCATAAAGAATACTTATGGAATACACACTCCATAATCTCCATTGCATAAAGTAACAATACAATATCCACACAAGCTCTCTCCATACCTAAACCCAGTTAAATTCAACAAGTCTCCCTTTCTGAGTAATCTGCACCTGTGCTGGTCTGCCTTTCTTCAAATAACTTTGCCTTCCCCAATGCTTTTTTTAGCTTTCAGAGGGCCCTGCTGTTTTCCTGCATGATGGATGTTTCTGTATAAAAATCTCAAYTCCTGGCAACAGGAGTTGTAAAATTCCAGCTACATCTTGAAAAATAAAAATAAAGGATGGTAGAAAGATAGCACTCTAGCCCTCCATACAGAGAASTTTGAAAATGTGGGTGTTCTGAAAGCTCAGAAAGCAGAAAAATATGCACCAAAATGTTTAATAAACTGCTATTTTAGAGCTCCTCTCTTTCAGAATATAACTAAAATTTATGCTGTTTTTTTCTGCCAGCTTTCCCCCCATCTTAATCCCAATCACAAAGTTCTAAAACCCTGACAAGGAAACCTACTGCCTGCTGTAGTACTATCACAGTGGTGCTGACAGCTAAAGTAAAAAAAAATTACCCTGTTTCTACTCCCACTGACACACGAGTGCATCCCTTTCCTCTCCAACATAAAGAGGCCTCTTTAGCAAAAGCTGACATGAAACCATGCTGTGCAATTCTGGTCTGCACAGGCCAGCTGCTTTTGAAGGTCTGTGTGGGTGTTAAAGTGAACGGCTGCCAGTTAAGCTTTTCTCAAATCAGGTAGGATTTTCTGTAAAGCCTCTGTGCTTTCCGTGCCTCCTGCAGTACAGCCAAAAGGGGGCACAAGGAGGGGAAGGGTATGAATTCCACCCACTGCTGTGTCTGTCTGGAGATAGACACCACGTCTTACCAGGCCAGTGCATCTGGATCCTCTGAATACCACCCTGCCCTGATAAAAGAGGTATATCGTTTTCAAAATTCCAGCTATTTAGGTAAAAAAAATCAGCATTTTAGGTATAGTTCTGGAGGGGGAACTGCCCACAGCATGGGTGTGCTGTACCTATTGACCGAGGGAATCACAGCGACCCACGGCTTCATCTTCGCATCTGCAGTGCCCAACATGCAGTACTTGTGCTCGGCGCTGAGGTGCGTACTTGGACTTGGCCAGGCAAGGCTCTGTCCCGTCCCAGCTCCACTCGCAAGGACGACCTTGCAGCGCTTTACCTCMCTGCGAGGCTGAGCGGAGGGCCTGAGGACTTGAGGGAAGAAGGATAAATCACCAACCCGAGCTRCCCTGCTGGAGGAGCAGCTCCCTGCAAACCCTTCCAAACTTCCTGCCAGCTCTCCCCGCCGCCTCTCCTTCCAGCTCCGTCTCGCCGCAATTCTCCGGGCTCAGCATCCCAGCCGGGATGCTCCCCGAAACGCTACCCCTTCCCTTCCCGAGGCTCTGCCCACYCCGCAGCCCCGGCCCGCCGCCGTACTCACCCCGACCAAGTGGCCCCGCCTCACCGCCGCAGTCCCCCTCTGAGCGGGTCGGAGKGGGTTTGGGGTGTTTTGGTGCTTTTTTTTAACTTTCAGTTAGTGCACCCACTTGGAGCGCGGAGGAGGGCGGGGGGCGGGCGCGGGCGGTGCGGATCCGCACCTCCCTCCGCCCAAGCCGCGGGGGCGGGGAAGGGGTCGGCTCTTCCCGGGATCCCCGAGGCCCTGTACAGGGAACGCCGAGGGCCAATTGGCCCGAGAGACCCATCGCTTTCACCCCACCCGACTGCTCTTCCGCAAATCCGCGCTGCAAGACCTCACCCAATTCCCAAAAATAAATCCGCCCCGACACTGATTTCTACAGCCGTTTGCATAATCGCGCTCTTCGCGGTTTTTTGTTTTTTGGGTTTTTTTTACAACAGTGCCAGTGCTATCCTGGCGGAGACTTTCTATTGACTGCGTGAAGCCAGCGGGCAGCCAGAAAAAAAAATGCGTCACGGCAGCTGGGAAGCGCCGAGGATCTGGGAGAGCCGGCACGGGGGACCCCGCAACCCCTGTCCCTCTGGCGCGGAGCTGCGGCAGGCATCCCGCAGCTGAGACCGTGCCTTGCCTCCAGCCCTGGCGAGGCATCCCCACGGGGCCGTGTGTGCCGACCGGGGAACGATCCTGTCTGCCCGATCGCGGCTTCCTGAAGATGGGAGTCACTTCGTGCATCTCTTGCTCTTTGTAGATGTTTACTCTGAAGAGCTGGTTCTGCTAGCTCAGAGCAGAGCCCGTACTTACCCACCTGATACAGAGTTATAAACCACACATTGTTCTACATRCAATTCGTCTATCCCATTCACACATTGTATCAACGCAGAAATCCCTGATACCTACACGCTTCTTGAGAGGTACTGATATTTATACACAGTTGAAACCTGCTCTTTCTAGTCCAGGCGTGGCAGGCACGGGAATTTGCAAGGGAGTGGAGGGAGTAAGAATTCCAGAGGAGGCAGAGGGGACACCTGTGCCTCAACTGATATGCGTGATAAAAACTCTGGAAATGTTATGCATACGGCTCATCTCCTTAGTCTAGGTGYGTAATGTCTGCAGCCTTCCTGAGAGGATCAGAAGGGTATCCAGCAGGCAACCTGAATGCAGCCCTCTGCAGCAGTGTCTGTGACCCTTGCCATSCTGGCTCTGTCCCCCTTACACCAGAGATATTCTTGCTAGTAGCCCCTCTGGAGCAGCACCCTCCTCTTGCTGCACACACTGCACCAGAGACCTCTGATTTATTTCTGAACTACCAGGCTCCTCCTAAGATGAAAGCTAGCAACTGACACGGTAATGCTGAAACATGCAGATGTACTTATCCTCCAGTCTTTCTTTAGTGATTAATTTCAGCTTTTCTATTTGTTTCTTCCTCACAAAGGTTCTAGCYGCTGGAGTCATATTTTTAAGTAGAAGCTTTCAGGCTGGGTTTTAATATTATCTTTTAAATGTGTTAACAGACATTTGGCCTGGAACATGACAGATCTTCACTCATTTTAAGTCATGAGGCATGCAGCAAGAATCTCCAAGCAGTATTTTGCAAAGCATGTTCATGCAAAGGCCTAAGGCTTTCAGAATGCCTAGAGGCTGTGAAGACTGAAGTTAGCATGGCAAAATGAGTGTGTAGTTCAGATAATTGAATCAAGTAGTTGGAAATTGATCAGAAACCTGGTATAGTTTTACCCTTGTGATCCCACCGGGCTTTTATAAGGTCCGTAACTTTAAACTTGGTTRTATTCTTGGCTTTCACATTTCCTCAGTTGGCAGACTCCTAAGGTGCTCTCATGAGGACAAAACTTGTAAAATGCTTCAGCTTCCTTCAACAGGCTTGACTTTCTCAGTTACTATCCCTCAAACCTTCARAAGCAGTCCACAGACCCACCAACCCACAGTTTCAGACTGAAAATGTGGAAGCTAGTCCTGAGGGCAGTGGGATGGCTGTTCCATCCGCTTTCCATCCCACGCCATAAGCAAGCTTCTGAGACCAGCTCAATCCAGTGGCTGGCATCAGAGAGGATCACTTTTGTTTCTTGTCCTGTTATGCCACTCTGAGGAAATAAGCACTTACTGCATGATCTGGCCTGTCTGTAATCCATGTTAAATAGCTGCTGAAGATGATACCAGCATAAGCACTGGCAGGGCCAGGTCATCACGTATGAATTCTGTGGACAAAGACACCCAGAAAAACCCAACTGTTGCTCAAACAGCAGAGCTAATAAACCAGATTTCTTAAACATCTGTGTCTCAAGTGTCCTCTATCCATGAAGAGCTGCTGGTATCTACAAAACTCACAATGCAACTTTTCYCTCCGTGGGTCAGGAACAACAGCTTTTCTTTCTGCTCTCTCCTACAAAACAGGATCTACTGCCTTCGAGGTTTCTCATTTGTGTGTACACAATTCCTCTGATCAGTTTTTATTACACTTTTAATGTCCTTTTAATGTCTGTCTTCTTTTTGTGTTCTTCTTTTTTTAGTATTCTGCATTTTAGAACCTTTTTCTTTCACTTAGGTCCTGCTGGATATCCTCTCTGTCTCTAGATATACCCAGTTCCTTTCTATTGTATTCACAGCCCTGTTATTCAAAGTAACCTTTCAGTAGATTTCTCTGGTTTTATCCTCCTTTTTATTAGTATAGTCTATGTTAGTGTAACACTTRAAAGCAGCAACCACATTATGCACTCCAAAGAGTCACTGTATGAACATCCTGGCAAGAACAAATTAAGTCCTCAGRATAAAACAGGGCAGAAAAAACAGCAAAGAGACAGAGTTCAAATGACTTCCCAAAGGAGACAAAGCTGCTCAATGACACAATCACCTGTGGGCCCGATTCTTTCTTTTCCTGGGTCTTGTATTTTAATTTGCAGCCACGTACTTATACTCCCTGTCACTGTGGCACTGTTCTTCTTTCCATAAAATCACTGTAAAGCCTGTTCCTTTCAACTTGACCAGCTCAGAATTAGACTAACCATTTCCACCATACATGGAATGATTTTCCACCTCCTTGAGTATACAGTACTGATGCAGATGGATGCACAGCCCTTGCTACTGCACATGCTCTGCCTGTCTTTAATGCTCTCCATGCTAATGCATCTCAAAATGCCCCAGATTACAAATCTATAACACTGGATCAGCTGTTCTCTTTAATGACTGTCTTTGTTTCAGCTACTCTGTCCAGCTGACCAACACCACATCAGGGAACCACAGAATAATTTAGGTTGGAAAAGACTCTGAGATCATTAAGTCCATCCTGTAACAGAACATCACCTTGTCAACCAGACCRTGGCACCGAGCGCCATATGCAGTCTATGCTGGGTAGTCCAGTTCAATGTCTRATCACCTTTCCTATGAAGAAATTCCTCCTGATGTCCAACCCTGAGTCTCTCCTGGTGCAGTTTGAGGCAGTGTCCTGTCACTGGTTGCCTGCGAGAAGAGGCTCATTCCTTTCAGATAGTTAAGAGTGATAAGGTCACCCCCGAGTCTCCTTTTCTCGAGGCTAACCACCCCCAGCTCCTGCTGGAACTGCTGCCTTCTCCAATTTCACCTGCTGGTTAGAAGCGGCTGTTTAAAAACCTCCAGTTTCACCTTTGACAGAAGCCAGATTCCTCTGCCTGGCCCTCTTAGCTCATTTGAATCTAAAATGGCGCCACTGGTGTGTTGGCTCCCTGTGCCCACCCTCAGCGTGGAAGCGCGGCGGGAGTTTCCCTGGCGGAGCGAGCGCCGCCCCTCCCGCCCTCCGCTCCACGGGCGGCGCTGGCGAGCCGCTGCCACCATTCCGCCCCGCTCCGCCCCGCCCGTGTGCTGCGGCCGGCTCCCGGAAGCGGCGGCGGAGCCATGGCGGCGGACGGGCGGGTGGTGATGGCGGAGCTGCAGCCGGAAGGGAGCGCGGAGGGCGGCGGCAGCAGCGAGCCGGAGGGCGGCTTTGGGCAKCTGCTGGAGGAGGAGGAGGAYGGAGAGGATGCCGGCTATGTGCTGTACAGGTAGGGCCGCGGCGGCGCGGTGTCCCGGGGCCGGGACGGATCCTCGCGTGGTGTCGCGTCACGTCATGGGGTAGGGGGGGCGGAGTGGCGGAGTAGGAGCCGGAGGAGTCGGGGACTTGTGGGAGGGACAGGGACGCCTCTGACTAGATCAGGCCTTATGCAGCATGRTCTTGAACACTGCCAGAGTTGGTGCATCCACAGCTTCTCTGGGCAGCCTAGGCCAGTGTCTCACCACCTACACAGTAAAATAATTTCTTCCCGTTGTCTAAGCTAAATTTCCCCTCTTTCGGTTTGTACCCGTTAGTGCTTGTCCTGTCACTGCAGTTTCTGATGGAAGATCCCTCTCCAGTTCCCTGTTGGCCCTCTGTAGATACTGGAAGGTTGCTATGAGGCTTTACACAGCCTTCTGTTCCCAGTCTGAACAGACACAACTTTCTCAGTCTGGCTTTGTAAGGGACGTGCTCCAGTCCTCTTATCAATGTCGTGACCTCCTCTGAACTTGCTGTAACAGTTCCATGTCCTTCTTACCTTGGRACACTTTTACCTGTTTAAATGCTGGTCTGTGTTACCGACAATAATGTCGCTACATTAGAAATTACTCTTGGGAGCAAGGATATGTTACTGGACATAAGTTAGTGCGTRTCATCATTTGAATAGCATTTTTTGCTTTTCAGAACCATTGAAAAGACACATGTATTTACAGGGACAGGAAGGAATGGGCAGATATTGAACCTGTTCCTCAAAATGATGGTCCAAATCCTGTTGTTCAGATCATCTACAGTGAAAAATGTAAGTCTTAAATATGTTCTGCACTGAAAACTTCTTCCATTGCCTTTGTTGAAACAACACTGAATGTTTTAGATAACATTTTCTAGAATGATACTGTGCTGACATTTAGTCAATTAATTGTATTATGTTGGTTCTGTGTGGTGTTTTCACAAGCGTTTCTGAAGTTGAATCTCTACCCTGAGTTGCCAAGATACTCCTTTAAAATTCTGTAGCTTAAGAGGTAATATAGCAGACAGCGTGGTTCATGTCCTAAGGCATTTCCAGCCCAGAAATGGAAGCAAGACATGAAGCTCCTGCAGCTGGTGAAATGGTGTGAGTAAGCAGCGCAGAACTTTTATGATTGTTTTCGATATTATTGTGRTGGTGTATTTCTAACATACTTGCGCAGCTTTTTGGTGTCAATTGGTCTCGAYTGAAAATGCTGTCAAGAGCAACAGTTAGCTATGGTTTTAAAGAGGWACATGTAAAGTACAGAAAATAGGAAATAATTTCAAAACATTGTTAACATTATCCCCTGTTCAGGCCGTTGGTTAAGACGCTGTTATCTATTTAGTTCGAGATGTCTAYGATTACTTCCGTGCTGTTCTGCAGCGGGATGAGAGAAGCGAAAGAGCTTTCAAGCTAACAGCAGATGCCATTGAGTTAAATGCTGCAAACTACACAGTATGGTATGTAAGGATCTTATTTCTGTGGCCATTTGACTATCTTAACTCTTAAGTCTTTAATATTTTGTTAATTGAATCAAGACATTCCTATTTGAATTTACACAGGGGAGTAGTGTAGATTTCCAGCGAGCTTCCAAAGAAAGCCATTGTTCAATGTTTCCCATGCCTGCCACTTTGATTCAGTGGTTTTCGTTCATTAGGCTTTAAGGATATTATCAGTCAAAGTCATGGTTCACCACAAAAAGGGCTTTTCTGTTTGAAATTAGATCACTTACCTGATAATGTGACCCTTGCAAAATGCTGAGGATACCCTCAGTTGACTTCAAGAAGAAGCATAAATGCATGGCAGCAAATAAATTATATATTTATTAATTAATGCATCTTTTAAAAATCTGTCAGGTTACTGTTCAGTTTGGTGATAAATAAAGAGTGAATTTCTGATACTCAGAGTAGGGCCTCACAAATGCTAACAAGTACTTTTGTATATCTTCATTTCATTAATTTCCATAAAAYCAAGCACAGAAGTCATTGTTTCTGTGATGAAAAGACTAACATGGGTATGGGTTAATTTGAATGCGATTGCTATAATCTTAGATAACATGCTCTTGTGATCAGTCATATTCCAGCTCTCCACTGAAATGTGACTGTCCTTTAACAAAATTAGATACATGGTTGAGGATTTTGCATTAGTTTTAGTTGTATTTAGCTCAATATCATTTAGAAGAACTGTGAACAAAGGTGATTCTGTGTTCTTCTCTGTGAATTTTAGGAAAGCCCTTTTGCAGTGTTCAAATGCTTGACTTTTATACAGGCATTTCCGGAGAGTCCTCCTGCAGTCCTTGGGAAAGGATCTCCATGAGGAACTTAAGTACATTACAGCTATCATTGAAGATCAGCCAAAAAACTACCAAGTCTGGTAAAATCATGCTTTCTTTTCAGCTCTTAATGCTTTTGCAGATAATTTTGCTTTTGTAAATTGTCCATCAGTTGCGGTGCAGGAGTTAAATGGAGATGCATCATGTCAAAGTTCTCTTCAGATATTTTTCCTAGGCATATGATCATGACATGCTAAGCAGGTCTTGTTTTCTTGTTAATTTCAATTTTTAAATGGCCAAAATAAGTCTGACAGGTAGGACAAAAAAAAAAAAAGACTTGTGAAAAGGCAACCAAGAAAACAAATRGAAGTGAGTAATTTTTCTTTTATTGTGTCGTGGAGTTTGCCAGCCTATTGTTGGGTTTTTTTCCAAAATGAATGGAAATAGGCAAGAGAGCAGTATCACTATTGATAGACATATTATGTAGTACTAGAAAATTTTAATCTGCTGAAGGCTTTGACTATGAGTGTGGAAGTATGTTATTTCAGGTAAACATTACTTACCTAAAATGAGGTGACTGGCCAATGTGTATGAGTGATTAAATTTTTTTATAATTTAAACACGCATCATACAGTTCTCAGACCCAAGCAAAATATTCTGGTATGCTTAATGGGAAGTAYTTAAATAGTAGGTTTTTTCCCTATGTGGTACAGTTGCTGTAAGGTGCTTTAATACAGACCACACACTCACAAAAAATTTTAGACTTTGTTCCTCTTGCCATTAGGCATCACAGGCGGGTGCTGGTTGAGTGGCTGCAGGATCCGTCCCGTGAACTTGAGTTCATAGCTGACATTCTTAACCAAGATGCCAAAAATTACCATGCCTGGCAACACAGACAATGGGTTATTCAGGTATTGTATCCACAGAACTCTTGATTTTTTACATAACCTGCTCAAGTTGTTTTGGCTCCTTAAACACAATCTAAATTGCATTTGGCACTTATTTCTTGAGGCTGAAGGGGGAAAAACAACTGCATTTTAATGTGTGGCAGAGGCTGAGTTAATACTTTTGTGTATCGCTGAATAGCATAGCATGTTCCTAGTGCACCTGTACTTATTTTTCTGTGAACTTTGTGTTGGTTTCTTCAAAACASGTTCTATCAGATGTTCCTAAGGCAATTTAGGAACAAGGAGAATGTATTTAAAAAAGAAAAAAACCTGTTGATTATGATACTGAATCTCTTCCTTCCCTTTCTACAGGAGTTCAAATTATGGGACAATGAACTGGACTATGTAGACCAGCTTTTGAGAGAAGATGTGAGAAACAACTCTGTTTGGAACCAACGACACTTTGTCATTTTCAACACCACTGGCTATGATGACCCAGCAGTCTTAGACAGAGAAGTCCGGTTAGTAACGCTATTCAGGCTCACATTAAGCATTCTCCGTTACATGTAAACAGAGGAAAACTTTCACAGTCAGTGTGGGCTTTGTTTCCTGTTTTTTRTTCACCGCTGAGATTCACGCTCATGGTTAGCAGATCAAGTGTTAGACTGGGTGAGCTATTCTCATGAAGCTTTTCCTGAGCTGCTCTTCAGTGTGCAAACAAAACTAGCWTTTTGTTGGTAAACTAGGTAGTGAGACAACCTGCAGAAAATCTGTTACACTGTTGTGTTGCTCATTTGTATCCTATCACTAGAAAGTTTGGAAAGAGGGGGACTCCTCAGCTCTGGTGCCTGGACCACCTCCSCTCCTTTTTTCTTACCTGATCTTGGCATCTGCAGAGTTGTTCCTCTCACATGTTCTCACTCTCTTTTTCTCTGGTCACAAATCAAACTGTGCAACCACCTTTGTTTTTCTTCCTTCTTAAATATGTTACCACAGAGGCATTACCATCATTTCTAATTGGCCCAGCCTTGTCCATCTTTGGAGCCACCGAGGATTGGCTCCGATGGACACGGAAGAATCTTCTAGCAGCTTCTTACAGAAGCCACAGCTGTAGCCCTGCTGCTACCAAACACCAGGCCACACAAATCCCATACAGTAACATGGACACGGACTGTAGGAAGAGGAGTTGCCCTTTGTGAGGAATTCGATGCAGCTGGAAAAAGAAAGGAGCTTTCAGGAATATGTGGTTGGCACAAGGAGAACTACCTCTGTGAGATTACTAGTTTTGCAGAGAAAAAGCTTTGTGCTCACTGTTTCTAAGTTGCATGTTTGTAACTGAAGACRAACTGGGCTTCTAGGCGTATTTTACTACTCATGGTGGCAAGAGAAGCATTTTCAAATGGTTTTCACATCTCAGACTGCTGATAGGGTTGYTGATTATGAAAAGGTATTTGCCAAAAGTGAAGAAGCAATTAAAGGTACTGCCATTTTTTATAAAGTTATTTTTCAGAAGACTGAATAGGTCCTTTGCCACATTTCACAGAGGATCCCAGCCCTCATAGTCTTCCATGGTTGTCTTTGTAACCTTCTAGAAGTTGTACTTCACCTGTTTAAAACCTTTCTGTAGATCAATGAATCTGAACCATTTCCATGACTTAGGCTTGGATATTTTCAACTCCTTCTCCCCAGGACATCCTCCTTTGATTTTCTCAAGATAATTGGGTACCATCTTAAGAACCAGACTAGCTAAGGTTAAGACTTCCCAGATGTCATTATAGAACTGCTTGTTGGTTGATAAACTTGGTCTTTATCATATTGACTGCAGAATGTTAAAAAAAATTTAGGATTGTGGGTAGTTTTTTAGTACTCCTGATATAACTTTTTATCAGTATCTGCAGCCTCTGAAAATCATCAGAATGCTTGGTTGTGCTGGGAAAGGCCAGAAGATAAAGTCTGTTTTGTGAAGATGAAATGTGGCTTTGTGACTGCATGGGAGGTGCCTGTTGTGRCTTTGCTTTTAGAACATTTGCTTAATTGCTACTTTCACAGAAATGCTGCAGAAGGCTGTGTGAGCTGAAAGCTCAAGCTCTGGATTTGCTTGAGTGCAGCCTCATGAAAAAAGTTCTGCAAATATGTACAGAACAAACCACTTACAATTATATTAATATGGTTCCATTACTCTGGCTGTTTTCAGTGCCTTGCCATTTCTGAGCATCAAAATACAAGTTAGTCCTTTAGTATACCAGGAGAGTATGTTATGTTGTTTCTCAGTGTTATTGTTAATGATTTTGAGAACGGGTTCATTATTGTCTGAAGTCCAGCAAACTGATCACTTCAGATCTTGAAACAGTTTTCATAGTATCTACCTCTTTGAGACTCCTGGTGATCATATTGTGAGCCATTTTTGATCAACTCAGCCGAGATGATCTGCAAAAAGAGCGAAGTATAGACTAGAGGGAGGTGTTTGGAAGCTTCTGAATATATTCAGGTAATTTCTAACTGCATTGTTTTATTGGCTGAATTCATGACCTGTTATCTTTTTCTTGCAGGTACACTCTTGAAATGATCACAGCAGTGCCACATAATGAGAGTGCTTGGAACTATTTGAAAGGGTGAGGTGTATTTCTACATGAGGGAAAGAGGGTTTCTGTAGAAGTCTGATTCTTACTCCTTAATTGAAAAGAACTTGCTGCTGTTCATTGTAGTGTAGTGTGCTTAAGCAGGCAGGCAAATACTGTCACGAGGTGTTACTGTATTACCTAATTTCTCTGTAATTTTTCACTAAGTTTCTAGCCCTGTGGTTATTGTGGGAGGCCTTACTGGTACTTCTCATGCTTTTAAAAACTTGACCTGTAATGTTATTGTGTTCAAAAGCATACATAGGAAAAAATGAACATTAACTTTCAGTCTAATTTCTGTACAGTTGAACAAAAACTGTACCAGTTTACTATAATATGAGAGTATACCAGTGCTGCATACTGCTTACATTCTGACTTGTATTTGCACCCTGATTTCAAAACTAATCTCCAAGTAAAGGAACGCAGTCATTCACAAAAATGCAGTTATTCATACCAGATTTCCTATCATTATTTCTCAAGCCTATTAACACCTCTTCTAGGATTCTACAGGATCGTGGTCTTTCTAAGTATCCCAATCTGTTAGAGGAACTGTTGAATTTACAGCCCAGTCATAGTTCACCTTATCTGATTGCCTTTCTTGTGGACATGTATGAAGATATGCTAGAAAACCAGTGTGATAACAAGGAAGAAACACTGAACAAGGCACTGGAGGTACGTTTTGASAGCTTTGTTTTGCTTCTCAGGGATGCTATATATTTCAGTCTGGTTTTATATCCTGAGAAAATGGGATTGATTTTCACAAACAGAACAGGTTACTTGTTAATCACAGGAGGTCTATGAAGAGTTTAACACAAAAGCCAGATAGTCACAAGGGTCTCATGAGTATAAATGTAAATGTTATCTTGATTTAGAGACAAGTTTGGGAGAAAACGCTCTGGAATGAGTGTTTCCTCTAAAAAGAGTTTCAGCAATTCCTTTCCGCCAGGATAAAATTAATATTGGTGGGTAAAAGTGAATAAAAACCAAACCTGTTTGTTTGAAAAAGTGCCCGCACAACTTGAAAAACTAATATCTKTTGACCCTTCAGAACCTTACCCACACACACGCAGATGCCCACTCACAGCAGAAAAAAAAAAAAAAACAGGGGAAGGGAAAAATCTCTGCAGACCACGTGCTAGGGAAAAACACAGTGGCAGATGGCTTTGTCTCGGGGAGGAAACAAAAATGTCCATACAGCCGCACAGGGAAGGGAAAAAAAAACCAGACAGGAGCATGGTGAACCTCCAGTGTTTGTCTCCTCCTCTCAGCAGATGAAGTTGGTGGCTTTAGAGTCCTTTCTTGTGTTGGTTCAGCTTTGTACAAGGTCTGGGGCTGGGCAGAGTTGCTCCTGCAGCTCCCTGCAGGTTGCCGGCTGTCTCCACAGGGATTGTCCGATCTTGGGCTAAAACCAAGTGCAGCAGTTCCAGAACACACAGCAGAAGCTGCTGTAGGATTGGTACTGCAGCTCCGGGAAAGAAACCTTTGCCTTTGCTAACAAAAACTAAACTAGCCAAAACATCAATGTAACTCATCTGAATCCAAACCTAGTACAAGGGAGTGAGGCTTTGAACAGARCCCTAGCCAGAGCACCCCAGGCTCCCACCCCTCCCCTGGACTCACTACAGGACCCATTTCTGGGCATAAAGCAGACAATAAAGGAATAGAGTATCATAAAATCACCCCAAGACACCAGTTAGGAAATGACTCTSTAAGTTTTCTTCACTTGCTATCAAAGGAAGGTTTGTAGTACTACCTGCAGAAAAAAGATGTTGGAACAACTGAAGCACTTTGAGTGTTAACTTTGTAGCATGAACTCACTGTTGAGTGTAGGTTAAGGAATTGTTCTGAAAATACCCATTTCCAAACAATCTCAGTTAAACTCCTTTGCCCCTTCTTAGCTCTTTCTAAGAAAGCTGGCAGAATTAGCTTATGGCCGGCAGGCACTGGGGGTGTCGGTAAGAAATGTCAGGTACCACTTCCTATAGAGAATAAATTATTCTGGCAGTGTTGTATATCTTCCAGTACTTCATACTTGGGTGTTCTTGGTGCAGTTTGTAGTGTAGTTTTTACGAGAACACTTTCCATTCACTGTGGGACAGACTAGAACATGATGTAATTAGAGCTGCAGTTTTTGCCTGGAGTCTTTGTGTTCCAACGTTGTTCTTTGCCAGCATTTTTCCATTGTTGTGTTCCAGGATCAGATTGTAAATAAGTGCAGTTGTACCTCCTAGATTCATGTCCCCTTTATACTATTTCACTGATTTTGACTTTCCTGTTTAGGCATCAAAGCTCCTAATTTCTCAGCTTCGTTTCACTGATTAAGGCAATGCCATCTGCATAATAAAAGGGAATTTACTAAAACATTTGTAGACAGGTTCATACTATGTAAAGTTTACAAAGCCTGTTCTGTAATTAGGATTGAGTTTTGCTGTGCTGCTTACCCAAACCAAAATTTTAAAAAATCCCCAAACATATAGAAGTATCTGCAACGCATCATGAGAGAAGGTTTCTGAATTGCATAGAGAACTCTTTTGGGACAGTCTGCTGAAGAAAAGTATCTCCTGTCTGTCCTGTATCAGGAGTAGTGAAAATTCTAGAGAAGAATAATCCTCCAGTGTTCGAAATGAAGTGGTTTACAGCCTGTTGAATGACTAAAAGACATCCAAGGTTCTCAGGAAGTATACCGTGCTCTACCAGAGGCTGAATAACGCTGGCATGGATGATGAGTGGTAGGCATGGAAATGGTCAAAAGGAAACTCGTAAAACTGAAATGGGACTAGATGGATTTTTATGCAGTGTCAGATTGGTTGGCTACCAATAGGGGTTGTCATCAGTTTGATGTCATTGAACAATTGTAAATCCCAAAAATAAAACAAAGGTTATGGAGAAAAGTGTTTGTAATACTATCTGAAACATGTATGGATTTTGTAGTTAAGGATTCTGTAAGCTTTTTGGTACAGCATTCCCATCTCTCTTTTTTTCTTAGTTGTGTGAAATTCTGGCTAAAGAAAAAGACACCATCCGAAAAGAATACTGGAGATACATTGGAAGGTCCCTGAAGAACAAGCACAGTTCAGGCACTGAGCAAAGCAGCACACTGACAGATAAACAGCAGTAACTGAAGATGGAAAAAAACAGTGTTAAGCTCTCAAGCTGTTCCAAAGCTGTACTATGTAGGGTCATCAACTAATTTAAAATCCAGTTGTACGTATTGCAATGAAAGAGGAGTGCAGACTGCTGCATAATCCTGAATTGCTGCTGCTACTGGTGATAGCTCTAGGTGCAGTCAAGAAATGTATTAAGGCTTAATTACTGAAATGTACCGAGTAAAGGTTTTAGTTCCTAACTAAAAATACATAAAGCTATACTTACTATATTGGCATTGCTCAGTTAACGGTTGGCCTTGATCTTGGASATTTTTTCCAACATAAGTTACTCTGTGATTCTGTGAAGCACTAAAACCATTTCTCATGTCCTGGCTTACCCACTTGTGGTTCCTGTGTCATCAGTTGCTGCAGTAATGACTGCAGGTAACTTAGCTATAGGGGATATAAAGTAACCTGGTTAGTGCAAGGAGGCACTGCAGGCTGTAGCCTTATGTGGGAGCAGCTGTGCAACWGTCAGCCTAAGCTGTCGTATGCAACTAACACCAAGTGTAATTTTGTAATGAAAATAGATAACGTAGAGCATTTGTCTGAATTTTTTAGTGTCTTTCTTTTGGTCCTYGTAAGTGCATAGTTTGTTCTTTTCAGATGCTAATAGCAATAAAATAATCTGTTGTAGAAGTATTGGATTCTATTTCATTTGAGGCATCTTTTGCACTGGAGTCTTCTTATACTAGAAATTTTCARTACACTTGATATATTCAGTGGAGCCCTGAATTTGTTATCTGCATAGACAGGAAAAATGCTTTGAGGATCCTAGGGGATGTTTATACATTCAACAGAAAGGTGCATCTACCCTGTTTTCAGTAAATTGCTATTGTAAACTATGTTCTTATAGAGTGCTTGTCTGATGTGAAATATTTTATTGGAAATTATCATAAAGGGAACAAACAAATGCTGGTATTTATTTCATAATATGATCAGTCTTTCTACACWAATCATTAAAATGTGTTCCTGTGATTAAACAATAGTGGAGATTGTTTTTTAACACTTGAAACACTTCAATGCATTCTTGAAATTTAAAACAAGTCACAGGGAGTGGAATCAATATATGAAAGATACATAATCTAGTAGTGGTTTTGCTGCTTTCTCAGCAGTAAACATTTTTTTAGTGACACATGAATATTCAAAACAGACTTCAAACTTTTGGAGATTTATTAGCTGGTTTTTTGTTGCGGTTTTGCAGGTTTTGGGATTTTGTTGTTTGGTTATTTTGTTTTTTGCTTTGGTTTGGGTTTGGGGTTTATCTGGTTGGTTTTTTTATTGTTTTGTTTGTTTTGGTTTGAGTTGGGTTTTTTGTTTGGGTTTTTTGGTGGGGTTGGTTGGTTCGTTGTTTTTGTTTGACACATTTGGGGGATTTTTATCACATTTGAAACTCCAGTACAAAACAAAAAGTGTATGCTTCTACCCCTATGAGTTTTTCCTAATTGAAACTGTACTAAATATGGACTACTGAACAGCCAAGGTGTTCAAGGTTTTCAGGACAAAATAATGTATTTGCCACTATCAGTCAAGAAAGCTCAGAAAAAGAACAGTCAAATGAAATTCTTAAACATMATCAATGAAGAGGGAACAGAATTTTTCCTCTGCATATGTGTTAATGCATTCCTGTATCTTTCAGAAAATTTGGAGGATGCTTGAAATAAAGCAGAATATTCTTTATAGACACTAGCATAAATTACAGCAAAAAATAAGTCATCCCAAGGCAAGATTGATGAGTGGCCACAGGGGCATGTATTTTGGGATATGATCTCAGTCACTTGTGGGCTGAGGGAAGAGCTTAGATTTAGCCATTTAGACTTCATAGTGGCAAGAATAAAAACCCTTTTTTTTGGGATATGGTCAACCTATGGCAGTACCKTCTCATTTCTGAAAATGATATCTAAAAGGAATTAGCAAGATTCTAACTAAGGCTGGTAGGGTTTTATACTGGTTGTGCAAACTTAGTGGTCTGTGGAAAGATAATGCCACTTCTGAGCTCCACTTACCAATAAATAACCAGATACATATTTTTAATGAAAAAATACCTTGTCTTATGTTGTAACTGAACAAATCATGCAAATCCTAAGGAAAAAAATATGCACAGGAGTTCAGTTTAAACACAGTATCAACAAAAAAAAGTAACAGAAACGTTCTTTTCTTTCTATGTTTATATCTTYATATACACATATGAAATACATATATGAAATGTTCAGATTTAATGTCATTTGGATTGCAAGGAACCTTTCAAATTCCCTTGCAAAAGCACCTCAGTTCTGTTCTAGTCAGCCATACAAAAATAGTGAGATGTCAGAGCTGGAAAAATGATGGCTGCCCAGCTAGGTTGCAAGTTAGCTACCAAAACTTGAATTTTAATGTGTCCAAGACAAAATCTTTCTCATGGAAGAAGGAGCTTCASAAAATGTATGACCTGGAGAGAGAAGGGTCCTAGAGTAGGAAGTCAGAGATGACTTTAACCTGTAGGCAGTGGTACTGACTACTTTAGATAAGGGCAAACATCACAGTGATTTGTCACAATAAGTTCATCTGTACAAGAAAACTGTTCTTACTGATTGTGTGTAGTGATGTAACTCTTGTGTACAATTTTATTATGGAARAGCTGTGCCTAAATGGAAAACTACTGAAACAACTGTCCCTTGTAATTCAGTGTAACTGGAAGATTCAGTGAAGTATGGAACTTTATTAATAAAGTGTGCGAAATCATATCCTATGCCTGCTTTCATCAGAAGCTGATGTTCTTGCCTTGGTCTAGCTCTGTCTGTCTTCCTAAGCCATTATTGACTTCTACCATCCCGTCTTTGCCATTCAGCTGACAAAACAGTGTACAAGTCCTCCCTAATCTATTCAATACAAAACCACCTTTGCTACCACAAAGTGATTCTATCAGATGCTGTCTGRTCGTGCTGAAACAGATTAGGAGCATACCGTTCAATTGGGCCTTCTGCAGGAGCAGYATTCTCCAGTACAGAAGCAGGGAGATTTCTAATCACTCATACCACGTGAAACACTTCCATCCAAGTGCTAGCAGCCACTTCATGCAGTGCTGTGGTGAGGGACTAACAGAGAGGTGGCACAAGTCTATCAAAWCCGAGGGTGCACACATTTATTTGGTTTCTTTCAGTATATTGCATAATGAGCTACTAGAAGCTTTACAAATTTAGCTAGATACCTCACCTAATGATGCCAAATGCCTGTATCAGCTGTCTGATGAAGCCTCCTTGGGGCTAGGACTGTGCTCCACGAGGTGCATCACCCATCACTGTCCCCGAAGAAGCACTAAGATAAAAACTTACATAAGATTTCAGCCTTGGGGTATTAGAATCATTGCTGTATCCTATCCTGCTGCTGCTGAGAAGGTGGACACCGGCCACTAGATGACAGTGTGACACGCACCCCTAGCCCATCGGCGCCGCTGATGCGCAGGAAAAGCAACAGCGTCACCTCCTTCTCCGTGCAACATCATTAATTTCACACACGCTAATTAAACATGGAAGAGCAGCTGCCTGGTAATTCAATACATAGCGCCACACAGGCATCAAGCACAAGTGTTCTGGGAGGGGCTAAATGGTCATCTTCATGTTGGTGTTAATTGGAGAGTAATTTCTCGTTAACAGAAATTATGTGTCCTCTGACACTCGACACCTTGTACAGATTTGGACTCTGTTTAGTGCTGGTGTTCTAAAAATAAACTGTGACTAAACCAGTCCGCTCAGAACTAGGGGTTTGTGGCCCTTTTACACCTTTTGGAGACATGACTCCAGTCAGAGTGCTACACTCATACACCTTCACAAACTGGAAAGTTTTGGTTCCCTAGAGCCAGCCTTGTTATGATAAATTCCTCTGGTCCCTTTGTAATGAAATGCTGGCCATTGCTGGCTGTTTCTGGGAATACAGATTGAAGGACAAGATGACCTGCTCCCACTTCTTGGAACTCAGGGGAGGACTTGGGCCAAACTCAGGAAATCGTGCATGCTGTTGCAGATCTGAAAACAGTTTCCTCACTTTCCAGTAACTAGGACCACAAACTTTCCTAAAGAAGGTCAAAAACAGATTTCTCTTTTTCATCAACTGGATTGTAGAAACTGAGCCTTGCGGGTGGTAACCATAGTGCAGGGATTTAAAGTGAGTGATGAGATGCCCTGTGTGACCTAAGCTGAGCCAGCCTGAGCACTCAGAGTGATTCAGGTGCAGCTTCTTGCTGTGTGGATATGCAGTGAGCTCTCAGGATACCCCCTCCCATGGGCATTATCCTAGCTCTGGTATCCCTGTCCACACCTGAAACAGCTGGGTGACAGGTGTAACACTGCCATCTCAGTACTGCTCATGAGCAGTGAACTTGCCACTGCAGAAGGAGCTTGCTGTATTTGGGCTTGTCATTCTTTTGGGTTTCTGTTGTTTTCGGAAGGCCTATTTGGTTATTTACTTCATTAGTTTTCTTATGTGCCCTGACTGTTGCCAAAGTCATCTCTCCAACAGGCCCAAAACCAGTTGAATAAGTGCTTGTGCTACTGCAAAGATGCTTCAGAAGGAGAAAAAAGAAAAAAATGCATTGTGTGATGTATTGTTGATTTCCGTCTTCTCCCTCCTGCCAAAGCCTGCTTACCAGGACAAAAAGGTGGCAGGAAAATAACCTTCTTTCCTTTTCAGGTGCTTGCACATGTCTGTCCCTGCTCTAGATTGCAGACACACTCTGAATATGAGTTTTATTCCCAGTTTTACTAAAGGGCAGTGAGAACACACTCACCCTGTACACAGGAGTATATGGCACTCACTGGCTTTGCTGGCTACCTCTTGCACTAACAGCTCCTCTGCTGCAAAATGAATCAAAATGGTTGTTTGCAGGTACCTACACACCAGGTACATGGTTAGTGTGGGGGGCTCCTGAGCACTATTCCAGCACTCTGATACCACCTGAATGGTACTGCAAATAATCTTGCTAACTTGTTGAGATCTAACCTGCAAAGATTGTGCATTGAGCTGAAGGTTACAGTAAAAGGAAAGTGTTGAGTCTTTTACATGGGCAACTGAAAACCAAAAACATCTGTTTTTTATAAAACACATTTTCAAATTACTAATTTTCAAATGATTCTTTAACTGGAAAACTTAAAACTTGTAAAGTGAGAATAGAAAACTTGCTTGGCTTCTGACAGAGGGAAAATATATGAGGAGATTTGCCTTAGGTTTACTGCTAGAAGGCATGTCTAGATAAAACCCCAAAAGCTAGATGAGATCTGTTTGGCATTAGCAATGTCCCAGGCATAGCCAGGTCCCTCTCAAAAACTCTAATTTTCTCTTATTTCATTGCAGGAGGAAGGGTAAAATGAGGGATGACTGGGAAAGGGCAAGCCAAAATCACTAGTCATGCATCACTAACAGCAGCTAAGAATATTACCACAAATTATTTCAGGATAGGTGCCTGCTGTAGAAGCAGACAGAGCCATCTGAAACACACAGCAGTTTTGTGCATTTCAAGTAAGAGCAGTGTTTTCCCACCAGATTAACTGTATTGACTTTTTCATCTCTTTTTTTAATTAATACAGTCAGACCCATGCTTGTCTGAATTATGCAGACTAAAAATTCTAGGGAAAGAAGAGAAAGATGAGATATAATCCACTTTACTGCAGGATTGCTACTCAGCAGCCATGGCCAGGACATGACCCACATAAACCTGGGTTTTGTATCCCATGAAGCCAACTTTCAGCTGTCACTTTGTAGTATAGGCTATTTACAGCAGAAATTACATGTCCTYATATGTTTGAAAACTCCTCATGTACACAGAGATGCCCCCTCACTCCAACAAGTGTTAGCAGTCTCTTTGACACGGTTGGAGTTTCACCTGCTTTCTGTTCCTCAGCACTGTGCCTGCAAAGCAGACACAAGCAGAGCAGAACAAGACTCCCTGGGGCATTGCCATGCTGCACTTAGCCTGGGTAGTTCTGGAATTGAAGAGATTTTACAGTGACTTCGAGAGTGCCCCTTTGCTCACAAGGGTCCTCACAGAAAAGGAGCCACCCATAAAGGCCTTGTGCAACTTCCATAAGATTTTAGGCCAATTTTGGAGACTGGCATTGTATCACCTCATCATAGCATCCCACCCATTACATGATTCTGGCAGATGAGTTGAGAAATCTAGGCACAAGCACCAAAGAGCTTGAATTAYACTGAAATAGAAGCGTACAGATCCAAATATTGAACCACCATGTTCTGCAAGAGTAGCTTGTCTCCTGTATATCAGTGCCCACAAGAACATGCATGGAGCAGCACTGAAAAAGGATCACTTCATAATTTGAATTCCCTTTGAATAAAGGAATTCCTTATGAATAAGATGTTGCTTTGGAAGAGAGAGAGGATAGGAAGAGAAGGGCAGAAAAAACCCAGAAGGTAATGAAAACTCAGCTCATAGCCTGAACCAGTATTGCAACATGGCTCTGAGAAACATGTACAGAAAAACACATCTGGGCAGCAGAACAGTATTTATGGCGATGAGCTGATAATGTTTTAATTGCTTCCTCCTGTTCACAGAAAAAAAGGCTTTGTAAGTACACAGGATACATCCCTGATATCTTCTCCTTGCAGGAACAGTGCTTGGGACGCTGTGTTTCTGGTTCATTAACACAGACTGGAGTTAAAACGGCAACATTTGTGTTATCAAGTAGATGATTATTGTTWTGTTCTGCGTTAACTTCCAAAGGAACAGTAAAAAATAATTTTAAGAAAGTGTAAATTCTTTTTTCTTGTCTTCTTTTACCAGAGACCAGAGCTGGAATTTGGAAAACTTTTTGAAGCTGTTTCAATTTCCTAGTGTGCTCTGACTTTAGGTCCTGTAAGAACAGTGTGCCTTCTGGAACCATGCCATTACAAGGGTATGTGGTCAGTTTGGAGTATTTTTGTAGGACAGAATGATTTGATGAATTTCTAGTGTTTGTTTTGGCTCAATTCTTCATAAAGRTTTGGCCAGAAAAGTCAAAGAGAAGGAGTTAGCTGGGACACTTAAACTCTATATCAACAGCTGGTATCTTAAACAGCATCAAAAACTGACTGCAGAGAGGATGAAAGCTCTCAATAGTGCACAACCGATCTGGGATAACCTCTGAATGTAGACTACAAAATGGAGGAAATAAGACAATTCCTGATTTTGCTGAAGTTCAGATACTTTGGCTGATAGAAGAGCAGTAAAATACTAGAATTTCATGCAGTGTCTACACACATTTATCTGGCTGTGTACCAGTACCCATTGGCTTAACCTCTTCACACCACCTGTCTGACTTGMAGAAAGATTCTGGGATCATGCAAAATCTGTTACAGAGGGTTTGGGAGCAGCAGTGATCTCAGGATATGTGCAGGTGAATATGGGGATGCCACTGCTCAGGAAATCAGATGCAACATTTACTCCTGCACTGCACTTCTGAAAAAAACAAAACAGCTTTTACAACTGCTGGTTGCCAGTAAAGTATAAGCATAGCAGCATAGCACTTCCATTACACATYCTAGTTGTGTCCAGCACTCAAAAGGAGTATTTCCGTGTCTTGGGGGGTTCTTTTTAACCCATGCCATCTTTGTTTCTTCCATTCTTGTTTTGCGCGTAGCATTCAAAAATTAAAAATTATGAATTTTTTTTTTTTTTTTAATGGGGTCACGCCACCCCCTTGGCCCTCACCCCAGTACCAGGGATATCACGATAGTTGAAAGCCAGCCCAAGGCTTCCTGCGAGAATTGGAGGGCAGACAAGGAGAGCTCCGCCTTTTAGAGACACTCTGGCGATTTCGCCAACCAGGCAGCGTGGTGTCTCTAAGCAGAGACACAGTTGCATATCGGGTTTGCCTGTTTCTTTTTCCTTCGGCACTTCGACTGGGTTTACAGTGGCTCGTTTTCTCTGCCCCCTTGCTATTTGGGAGCCCAGAGCCCGTGCRTGCCGTGTTGGAATCCGGGAGCAGGAGCACCCCATCCCCTGCCGAGAGCTGCCCCGCCTCTGCACAGCCTCACCCAGTGACCAGCCACCACCGCTGCAGAATTCCTGCGACTTGTTGCCTGCTACCCCGGGTGAGCCAGCCCTGCCGTTCCAGCTTGCTGGTCTGAGGTCCCTGCTATGGCTCATTCCGCCATCCACCGCGCCCGCCATCACCGCGTGAGGGAGAGCGAGCTGGCCTCACGCCACAGCGCCCCCTGCCGGCGCGGAGGAATCACCGCCCCCGCCCCGCGCCCCTGCCGGCCGTGAGCGGAACTGCAGCGCAGGGGAGRGCGGGGACGGGAGGAGCGGGCTGGCGCTGGCTTTGAGCATTGTTTGTTGTTGCTGCCGTTATTGTTGTTTGCTTGCCTTGTTACACACACTAGAAAAGAACTGTTATTCCGTTTTCCATATCTTTGCCTAAAAGCCTCCTAATTTCAAAGTTACTGTAATTCGGAGGAAAGGGAGGTGATATTCTCTGTTCCAAGAGAATGTGGCAGACACCTTAGCAGACACCTGTCTTTCAAACCGAGACATGCTGATAAAAGTTTAAACTGACAATGCATACTTAATAGCATATTTAGTTGTGCTTAGCCCAGTATACCTCTAAGGCCAAATACAGTTTCCACCTGTGGAAAAAAAAAAAATCTGCTAAAAGTTCAAGTCCATTCTTGTCCACTGAGATGCTAGTGTTCCATTGCAAAAGCTCCAAATGGGACTCAATATGCAAAGCCRTCTGATGTTCCTGATTCCTACAATTTCACTTGTGCAATTCTTCAATGCTTTGGATACTTCAGGCTGGACAGCAGGGCAGGGTACATGAAAGAATTCAGTTCATAAGAAGTATCTATGTAGAAATACCATTTTCTGTCTAGCATCCAGCCATAGGAATCCCAAAGTCTTTGTGTTTTCTGGTCCCTTATCGTGGCAAACCAGGCATCCTTGGCAGAGAAGACAAAACAGAACAGAAGAAGGTGAGTAGTTATTTTGTGTCTTTTCTCATAAATTAAAAAGCAGCAAGACTGCCTTTCTCTGTGTGATTTTAGCAGCTTTATTTACATATGCTGAACACAGCTAGTAAACAACTCTGTATCACATTGAAACACTACTGAGCAAAAGGAGGCAGAAAAACAGCAGTTAGAAAAGAAAGTGTAGTTAGTAGAAGGCCCTTACRTGTACCAMTGTACTAATTTAATATTTGAACATSTATGCATCACAGTTCCATATATGTCTACTGATGACCAAGCAACTAATATASATAAATTTTGCACCACCATCATACTTAGAAGTGTGAGGCAGAACCGCCAAACCTGCAAGGAGCTAGTGTTGCATGTAGTGGGTTGCCCAGCCTTGGTGAAGACACATCCAAGCAAAGTAAARCATTCCTTAAATGGATGAAGCCTGTTAGGAATAGCATTGAAACAAGTTAAAAACACAGTCCCAGTGGGCTTTCAGTAGCTCACAAAACGGTGAAAAAAWTTTGAGGAGATTGATGGACTGTCTCCTAATGTAACAGTTTTAATGCTCAGTAGCTCTGTTCTAGGGTGTCACTGTTCAGTTTAGTGGTGAAACATCTCCTGCTCTGTTCCAGACACTAACCCTTGTTACAGTGGCAGGGAGAGGAACCACATGAGGCCACACAACCATCTCTTTCCTATTTCAGAGGATTTTATGACTTCTACACACAAATTTTATCATATTATTATTTCATGTTGGGAAAATCCATCAATTTCACTGTTTATCACTGTGGCTTATTCAGTGGCCTAATTAGCTGTGAGAACTGGGTCTCTAATCCCTTGTCTGGCTCTGACCTTGAATGACTTTGGGTAAGCAAATTTTTATTTCTCATGTAGATTTTCATCAGGAAGATACTAATGGTGAATTTTTCTCCTCATGGCTTTAAAGGAAATATCACCTATTAATTCTTCCTATGTACAGGAGAGAAAAAATAAGAAACCAATTACAGTAGGTTCCTTCCTTTGAGACAGAAAAATTCATCCACACCAGAATTTTATAAACCTAAATGAAATCCTTCTTTCTCATTCTGTCTGTGGAATAACAGCAGTTGGGGTTGAGAAATGGTATTCAAAACCAGGACAGTATAGATTATTAATTTTTAAGCTAATGCTAAGAAAATTATATTGTCTACTGGTGACCATGACCTTGTAAAGGACATTCATAATTCTATTATGTACCTCTTTGCACATACAGRCAGAGTTGTCACATACTCATCACTGAGAGCCTGGTCATCTTATCTTTGCAGTATTTGCTTTATTTGCAGAGGAGATAATCAGCAAAATTCCCACTGAAGCATATAATGCAGGTGTCTTTTACATACTGCTGCACATGCAGGCATATTCTAACATAATTTTAAAAGTATCAAGGCTGTTATCTATACTGTCTCCTTGTGTACAGATAGTGGCCTTAAGGCAAGAAAACAGGAAATAATAACAGGATTACAGTTTTAATTTTGGACTCAAGCCTACAAAGCTGGAAAAGAGGCCACAGAAAAGGCATCATGTGCACTCAAGGGATATCTGTCTGAATAATGAGGAAAGTTTATTGAACTGTTTTTTAACTGAAGTGTGGAGAAACAAGATGATTAGATCAGGGACCTCCATGACTAAAGACAGAATCTTCCAGGTCCCACTGAAATACCTGGCATGCAGTCTGTATTTCACATCAGATACATGGGGAGAAGCTCCCGTGGGAGGTCACTCTTCTGGAACAGCATAAAACCTAACACAACCAAACACAGCATCACAGTGGTCTGAGTGAGGTAAGTTACCTTCAGGAGGAGCCACAGTCCCTCAGAAATGAAATATCTCTAGACAGCTGAGTTACCAGCTTGCAAGTTAGCTTGCTCGTCTATGGACTGAAGGGGAGCAACTGATGGTCTGTATTTTGTGTCTGGGTATAACAATCACAATTTAAATTTTAAAACATTGATGGCAAAATAAATTAATAAGACACGTTACTCACTGCTCACTGTGCACTGTTGGTGTGAAATGCTGGCAGGATAGGTACAACTTCGTTGCCAAAACTATCTCAGAGACACTGCTTTCATAGTTTGGTAGTAGGTATCATGACAGCTGCAAGTCGCTCTTCAATTTCTTGTCATCTGTGGTGTACTTCTTGCAACCTCCTTGCATCGTCATTGACTCTTTGCCTGCTTTCACAAGCAGTGAAGTCATTGGCTCCCATTAGTCAAAATCACCCCCAGTTTCCCTTACAGCTTATCCAATTTGCRGGTGTTGCTTGCTGCCACTGAAAATGTTCACAACCCACAGGACTTTCAGACTTTTAGATTCAGGTTATCTTCTCAGGAGGCACCGTTTATGAAACTGCATGTGGCTAAAGGAAAGTTGGCAGTGAACCAGGTAGTCAGAGCACCAGGAACAAAGGGTGCACACACATGTAAGGGTGTGAAGCACAGGCTGTATAATACAATTGACATGGGAGGGAGATGGTGCCAGGAATGAGGCTGGCACTTCCTCCTTTCCACACTTACTGATTCACTCCTGCCTTTCCCAGCATTTTAGGTTGCTCTAGAGTGGCCATCATGGCCTTTGAAACAAACTGAGAAGATATTTCAACAACATAAACATGTAAGAATCGTGGGGCTTGGGCAGACATATGGGGGCTGTGGTGTAAGACAGCGGAGAAGATGGATGTGTTTCACTGGCAAAGGGAAAAGATGAAGGAATGCCATGAGCACAGTAGATGGAAAACTTAAAAGGAAAACAAAGGTAGGTGGGAACTAAGAAAGATGGTCCTATTATCATGGATGCAATCTAGGGAAAGGCCAGGAAGTCATATTAAGAAAGGCAGCACAGAATCAAAATGCACATTATGTGCCCTATGCAGCTGAACCAGGGAAGGAACATAGCCATGTTGCAAGCCTTTCACTCATTTCAAGACTGGCCCACTTCCATGAAGTGGCAAGAAGCCAACAATGATGGGACGAAAAGTCCTCATGGTGTGGACAGACCAGACACTGATCTGGAATACAGGGCCTTGAGGGGGAAGCTGTATGAGAAGTGGCTGAGGCCCATGGGTCTGYTCAACCTGGATGAGGGGAGACCTCATTGCAGTCTACAACTTCCTTGTCAGGAGTAGTGGAAGGGCAGACACTGATCTTTTCATCTGTGATGACCAGTGACAAGACCCAGAACTACATGAAGTTTTCTCAGGGGAGGTTTAGGATGGATATTAGAAAACGATTGTTCATCTGGAAGGTGGTTGGGCACTGGAAACAGGCTCCCCAGAGAAGTGGTCACAGCACCAAGCCCTATAGAGTTCAAGAAGTGTTGCAAAATGCTCTCAGGCACATGGTGTCATTCATGGGGCTGTCCTAYGCATGGCCAGGAGTTTGACTTGATGGTCCTTGTGGAGCCCTTCCAATTCAAGCTATTCTGTGATTCTGAGTGTGACAACGGGCGGCACTCCGTRGGCATCCTTCTTACAGAGCTGAAGCCTAACTGGAGGACACTTCTGGAAGTCCTCTGCAGGCCTGACAAAGTCAGAACGGGGAAAAAAAAAAAAAAMCAAAAMCCAAGACTCCAGCCCTGTGCCTGGAGTCGCAGCTCCCCAAACCTGGCAAAACGAGTAACGCGATCAGTGACGAAACGCTGGCTCGGGGCATGCGCCCAGCTGCTTTCTCCCTTTCTTTCCCCGCTCCTTTTACATAAAAAAAGCTGATTAATGCGTGTCCTTCGGGTCAGGSCAGTGCTGGGTCCCGTTACCTCGGCCGCTTCCTTCCCCCGGGCGGAGCCCGCCTTGGCCCGGCAGCCCGCGCGGGAGGGCCGCCGCCCTGCCGGGGAGTTTCCTCTTCCTCCAGCAGCGCGGCCGGGGCGGGAGGAGGAGGAGGAAGGGGAAGGGGCAGGGGCCGAGGCCGGCAAGTCTCCAGCGCGGCCGCCGCCGTCGCTGGTGCGGCAGGGGCGGAGCGGCGCGGGAGGCGGCGCCAGCGGCCGGCGGGGCCCGGAGTCACCGTGTCACGGCGCCCGGGAAGCCGTTGCCGCCGGATCCGCCCCCCGCAGGGCGAGCGAGGAGGCAGGAGGAGGAGGAGAAGGAGGAGGAGGGAGGCCGGCTCCTCGCCGCCTCTTGTGTTTTCGCCCCCTTCCCGGCCCAGCCCCGGCCCCTCTCCTCTCGCACCGGGGCGGCGGCGGGGGGCGAGGCCGCAGCGGCGCCCGAGCTGCCCGCGGGAGCCCCGGGACGGGCCTGGGCCGCCGCCTCCGGACTAGGATGTCCCGACATGAAGGTGAGCGGCGCGGGGCACCCAGGCCGCTCCCGGTGGCGGCGGCGGGGCCCGGCCCGGCGGCCTTGGGGGCCCATCATCATCATGGCGCCGCCGGGAGTGGGGCCCGGGGCCCGGCGGCGGAAGGAAGAAGAGGCCCCGTCGGGCGGGCCGCGCTCTGCAGTGTCATAGCGGGGGAGGCCGGTACGGCCCGTTCGCCGCGCGGCCTCCGTCGGGCGGGGCCGGGGCCGCAGGTACGGCCGGCGGGGGGGCTGTGCCGCCCCGCTCCTCCGCCCGAAGGACGGGTGGAGGGAGGTGCGGCGGGCCCGGCCGCCGTGGGTGGGCGGTGGCGCGGGGCCGCCCTGCCGACGTGTCGGCCGCCGCCGCGGCGGGTCCYGGCCCGGCTCCGCGCCCCGGGGCGCCGCTGGGTGCTGGAGGAGCGGGCCTGAGGCCGGGGTGTGGGGCAGCCTGCCTGGCCCTGCCAAGGGGTGGTTTGTGTGCTGGCGGCCCCGGGATCTTCCCGTTTTCCCTCGGTTTTGCTTTGCGGCAGAGGAGGCCGGTGCTGGTGTAGTAGTAGCATGTTTTGAAAGGCCGCCGGAGAAACGTGTTCTGTGTGCTGCTTGCCTCTGGTGCCGTTGTGTTTACTGCCGTGGAAGAGTTCGGTGGGTAGTTAGTCAGAAGGAGCAGGGTGGAGGAAGAGATGGAAGCTACGAAAGGAATTTCTATGGGAAGAAGATGGGAGTGTGAAACCAGGAGAGAAAGTTACTCGGTATTTTCTGCGCTTGTTTACCAGCGGGTATAGTRTTTGGACTAGTATTCTGTAGAACCAGGGTTTGTCATCTGAAAAGGTAACTTTCTGCCATGTTGGGAACTTAATTGAGTACTGTCTCCATTTTCTCTTATCTAATTTCTCATTTCTCTTTTTTTCCCTAATCTTAAGGGATTTTGACAGAAACACTGTAGGAGAATTCAGTATTTGTGGCTCATACTGCTGACTTCTAGTTAGTAACTTGAGTTTAGGCAATGTTGTATATGTGATGGATTTTTGGTGTGTGTCGCAGTATTTTGCAGACTTCATGTTTGTGCAAGTACATGTGCATCTGTATCCAAATATTATCTTACCTGAATCCACTAGCTATTTTTGGGTTTTGCTTGTTGAAGTTAAAACTTAGTAGGAGTGCTACGTTCCCCCCGCACCTTCATGTTTTCCCAAGATGGCAGATTTTTTTTTTATGGTTAAAGAAGCAGTTTTTAACTGACATTAAATGATCATTGATCACAAAGTTGTTATTGGTAGTGGCGTAGTAAGATTATGCAGTCTGTAAGTACCTACTGTAATGCATGTTTCCAAAATACTCTCTTTAAAGTACAGTAGTAGAATAGAGGCTTTTCTAGCTTGAACGGGTGAAAATTATGGAAGTGTTATCGTAATGATAAGTGATATCATGTGCTGTTCCTTTGTGGTTTTCAGTGATAAGTGCATGGACTATTATAAGAAGTGGTGATGTGTGCTAGAAAGACATTCCAGCCCTGTCTTTTTGTTAAAATAGAATTTGAAAGTAGTTTTTCTTGTGTGTTTCTTAYGGAGACTATAGCATGAATTTTCCTTTTAGTTTTTACATTGTTTGTAGCAGGGAAAATTACATTTCTTCTCTTAGATATTATTTTTTATTTTTAGGAGGAATGACTGTAATGAAACCGGGCTTAGTATTCTCTTTCCAATGCAGATTCATCAGTGATTGTTCTATTTAGACATGCCTAGTTAGAAAAAAGGASATAATTGCCTAATTAATTATGTAATTGGTAAGCGAGTGTGAGTCTTGGTAATTTTGGATCCTGGGTGTAGACTTCKCAGGTGTGTATGTGAAGAAACAATGCATTCCGTGAAACCATGAGAACACTGTGAGATTAAAAATTACATCTACCACTGTATCCTTGTGGTATTTTTTTAAGCTAGTCTGTCTCTTAATTTCTCAATGATTCTCCTCTTATTTCATACTTCATGTGTGCTTTTTAGGCAACTTTAGTTGCAGGGGTGGAATAAGGCATACTAGTATGGGAGGCATGGTTTTCCAGCTTTATGGAGGAGAGATTTGGGGACTTGATTTTGCTAGAACTTTTTAAATCCATAGAAACTATATATTCAAAAAGAAAGGTAATTCTTGCTTCAGATCTGTACAAGGTTATTCACAGCTGACAGTTTTTAATCTAATATGACTAATTTGGAGATAGCTGTCTTGGAAGAATATGGTATAGGGAAAAAGAAAGCTTTAATTATTTTTATGTGACATTTTTCTGTGTGTTTCCTTTAAAATGATCCATCCACGAAGTTACAAACAAGATTTATTGMTATTTCATGACAGAATCTGGATGCTGTATCAGTTTTTGGGTGGAAATGTATTTGGATGTGTAAATGCTGGAGAAGTTAGAATTCTAAARGCTTGGAACTTTAAGTAGGCTATAAAGCAAATTATGGAGATTTACGCTTACTTTCCATTGGGATTTCTTGACTGTTTCTTGGTGTAATAATCTSTGTGTAACAGTTGTTTGGGGTTTTTKGGTCAGTTGGTTTTGTTGTTTTTTGTTAAAAGGGAGATTTTGTTAGCATTCACAAAAAGTTTCATCATAACCTGACTTCACTGTCCTCTCATTTCACACGTTAGTTCCAGAGTCCTGTTTCTCTGATATCCAGGAAAATAAACAACAACTMGAATTTGAATTAGTGTTGCACTTTTGATGTGTTTATTCAGTGTTCAAGAGACTTCCTTGGTAATGCTGTCAAGAGCTAAGTATCTCTCACTATTGCTAGTCTCTTCTACTTTTTCAAAACCATTATTTGTGATACGGTGTTAGGAGGCTAGCTKTGCCTTTGGTTTTGTAGACTGCTACATGAGGTCATTCCCTGGTCTTGGATTTCATGTTCCCTTTATAGGAGTAATACTCTGTGGTTTTCTGGGTTAGCCCCTCTGTGGAGAAATATGTGGTGGTATAGTATTTGACAATCTACAAGGAACAGGTAGGTAATTTTTTTTAAGCTCTGGAAAGTTTACCAGAAGGTATTTTACTTATTACAGATTATGTGTTTTTGTGGACATGTACCAGCAGTGCTTCTCTCATTTGGTAGTAGACACCACCCAGAACAGCAAAAATATCAAGAACTGCAACTTCCAGGAATATGATTAGAAGCCCTTTTTTGCAACTTGTTTTGTGGAATTTGGCCACAACAGAACTACTCATCTGGCTTCAGATTCCCTACAGCTGGCATCTCCATATCATCTCCATCTCCATGGAGTCCTGGTTCCATATCACCTGCATCACTTGTTTCTCCATTTCTCATGTCTGCATCCCACTCCTAGATCCAGTTCCAACCTTTTCTTCTTACTCTTACTAAAGGATGTAATCTTTAAGCTKCAAAGAGCTGTCAGCAATGCAAGTTGTGGTGGTTTTTGCATGTGCCCATTTGTCAGCATTTCAGCAAAGGTCTGCAGTTAATCCTAGGCCTACATAATTAAATTGTGAATGGATGGTGGTAACACAGCTAGGAAGGGAGGGTGTGACTGTCGGGACCACATGACCTTTCCACATACTCTTCACTGGCTTAAAACTCTTTTTACTTCAGGGACCCGGTGTGTCTATACTCCTTTTTGTGTACATAAATGTGATGCACAGAGAAACTGAAATGAAGTGCTAATTTGTAATAGTAGGATAAATAAGTAAATCTTGAAAAAGAATGCWTGTAACTTGGTCTTTGAAATTCAAGAGATCGTAGTTACAGTTGAACAAATATCAGCCATGTGAAAACCATTAGTGTAAGAGTAATTTTAGCTCCAGTCTTCTAGCTGTACAGTGAAAAGATTGTGACTCTGGGCTGGTGACATTTTCTGTATGGTCACAATACAAAACATAAAACTTAATCTGAAATACACTTTTTAGAAACATTAAAACCAAGAGTAATTTCTGCATTTTGTAATTATGCAACAGYTGTGTCACATTTGAGCTGCATAGGGGTACTACAAACTTCTGTCATGACAAATAACACTCAGCAGTTGATGCATAACAATGCTTCTTATAGTGCCAGTACAAAATTGCCACAAAATGCAGAATTAATTAATTTTGCATGTAAAACTTCTAATTCACGTAACAAGACTACATATTTTTAATAGAAAGTACACAAGATATGGTGTTGGTGAAGTGTGGCGTGTAATAATGAAAGGTGCATCTGTGAGACCAGTTACAACTTGCTGCCTTCTGATGCTTTGCTTGCCTCTTCTCCAAACAAGTAGTTTGCTATTTCACAATACAGAATAACAGTAAATTGTTTTGTACATTGTTGCCACTTGGATYTGTGTTGTGGAAAGTAAATCCAGATTAAGTTAAGCATGTAACATAAAACAGTGATTTTTTTTTTAATTTGTACTAGTATTTGAGTCTGACTAAGTGTGTTCTAACTGTATATGCGAAGTGTTTTGTTCTCTTGTTAGTTTTGCTCTATGGTAGCATATTAATGCATCTAATTACAGATGTAGTGCAGTGTCTAAAAATGAGTTAGTGTGACAATTTTACTAGTGAGAGCTGTGTTTAGAACACAAAAAATGTTAATGTTAGTTGTAAACAGCTGCAAATGTGATTAGAAATATTTGATCACAGTAGCTTGCTTTTTTATTAAACTGTTGTTTGATTTCATTAGGAAACTAAAACATCATTTAATAATAAAAATAGCTGGAAGCATAATTACTTATTTTAACTGACAAGATACTGGCTGTATGGGAACTAGGTTTTTAGCTTTTAAAAAAGGGTTGTGGCTCTGGTTTAGCAAACTGTGTGAACCGAGATGCTGCTGTTCCTGAAGAGTCTGAACAGGGACCTCCAAAAATGTTTGTAAAGAGAGACTGTTTTTTTCTCTCAGATCTTTATAAAAAGTAATGACACTGATCATGGGAAATGAGAGAAAAAGATTAGATTCAAATTATCGATGTTGAAAGTCTAATAGTCTGTATCTTAAGCAGGAAAACTGGATCAGAACT